GCCGCGCCCGTCGACGCGCCGTCGCCCCTCGCCCCTCGCCCGTCGACGCGCTCGTCCCCGTCGAGCGACGTCGATCACCTCTCCGCGCCGCCGCAGGTCTACTCGTGCTCCCTCGACGGCACGGACATCGCCACGGTGACGTCCGAGATCGGCCGGCCCTACGACGTCTCGCTCACGCCCCACGAGGGCCGCCTCTACGTGTCGTCCGAGTCGGACAACATGATCTACCGCGTCGACTCCGAGGGCACGGACCTCACGTCCTGGCTCGCCGTCACGACGCCCCGCGGCGTCTGGTGCGAGTCGACGAGCGACCTGCTCTACTTTGCCAGTTACAACGACACGTACATCGGCGCCGCGCCCATGGACGACACGACGTCGATTACCGTTGTCTTGAATTCCACGGAGCTCGACGGCGAATCCCCGATCTCCGTCGGCGTCGACTACCTCCGCGACCTCCTCTTCTACACCACCGAGGAGTCTATCAACGTCTACTCGCTGATGACGCACGAGCAGGAGGTCATCGCGTACCTGACGGGTCTCGAGTTCCTCTACGTCGAGTCCTACGTCGCGCCCACGGCCGCGCCGACGGGCATGCCGACGAGTATGCCCACGGGGAGCCCGACGCCGTCGCCCTCGGGGCTTCCCTCCGGGACGCCCACGGGTGCGCCTGTGCCCATGCCGACGCCTTCGCCGACGCCCCTTCCCAGCGCGGCGCCTTCCGAGGCGCCGATCCCGATGCCGACGCCGGTCCCGACGCCGCTGCCGAGCTCGGCGCCGTCCTACGCGCCGCAGCCCTTTCCCACGCATTTCCCGTCGCCGAGGCCGACGGACGTGCCCACGAGCTCTCCGACGTTCGTGCCGTCCGCGACGCCTTCGCAGATCCCGCAGCCGAAGCCCACGACGGTTCCGACGTCGGCGCCCATCCCGCTGCCGACGCCCTCGCCGACGCCTATTCCGTCGGCCACGCCGTCGTACGCGCCGTCATCTACGCCGTCGACGGTGCCGACGCCCAGTCCGTCGGAGACGCCCACGGCATACCCGACGCCGTCGCCGACGGGTCTCCCGAGCCCGAAGCCCACGAAGGAGCCGACGAGCGTTCCTACGTCCTTCCCCACCGAACACCCGTCGCCGAGACCGACGGAATATCCCACCGGCGTGCCCTCAAGCTCGCCGTCGGACGTCCCCTACCCTCGCCCGACTTCCTACCCGACGCCGGCGCACAACGGAGTCCGAATTTGGTTGAACTTCAACATTTTCATTGAATCCAACATTACACTGACGTTGAACCTCGACCTGAAACGTAGGTGCCCACGACGCCTCCGAGCCCGGCGCCCACGACCAAGCCCACGGCCGTGCCCACGTCCTACCCCACGATGGCGCCGACGCCACAGCCCTCGCCGGAGCCCACGGGCCTGCCGTCGAGCTTGCCCACTCTCGCGCCGACGTCCGCACCGAGCGGAACGCCGTCGGAGCAGCCGACGCCCTACCCGTCCGCGCTCCCGACGGGCACGCCTTCGTCGGTCCCGACGTTTTTGCCCAGCCCGAGCCCGACGTCGCCCCCCTCGCTGCCGCCGACGCCGGTCCCCACGACGTCCGTGCCGTCGCCGCTGCCGAGCGCGTCGCCCACGTCGTACTGCGAGTACCTCGAGAACGTCTGCGGCTTCTGCAACTGCGCGGAGAACCCGACGTTCTGGCCGACGCAAGCGCCGGTGAACGTCGTGACGTTCGGCGCCAACCCGACCTACCAGCCGACGTACAGCAACGGCGGCGTCGTCACCGCGGGCGACTCCGAGGTGAAGAAGGCCGGGGTCCGCACGGGCAGCGCCTAGCCGCGCGGCGCGAGCCCACACCACCCCCTTCCTTTCCCCTGTCCTTCCTCGGATGCCCCTTTTAAACTACTCGACCCGCATATTTAACCGCATATGCTTCCTTGTTGAACCTCAACTTGAAGTTGGAGCGAACTGTGGCAAAAGCGCCTCCTCGAGTTGTGGGCCATCGGCTTCGCTTCGTCGTCGTCGGCGCGTCCTCGCCACCCGGAGCCGATCGATACGTGAAGCATGGCCTCCTACATGCTCCCGCACCGGCGCGGCCTCGGGCGCGACGCCCAGGCGGCGACGTCGGCGGAGAAGAAACGGGAAATGGCCGCCATGGGCATCAGCCCCTCGTCGAACACGGACGAGCCCTACACGCGCGAGCGCGGGCTCGCCTCCGCCGGGTCGCGCGCGGAGCGGCGGCGCGCCCAGGAGCAGGCGCGGGACGCGGCGGCGGCCGCCGGCGGCTTCGTCGGCGGCGGCCCGTCGCCCGCGGCCGGCGGCTTCGTCGGCGGCAACCCCGCGCCGCCGCCGCGCGGCCGCCCCGACGACGACGACGGCGACGATCCGGACAGCGACCGCCGCCCCGCCGCCGCGCCGCGGAAGCTCAAGCTGTCGGCTACGCGGCTCATGCGCAACGCGCTCCACGCGCACAACTACGGCCTTCACCAGAACGCGCTCGAGGCGTTCGACGCGGCGCTCGGGAGCCCCGAGGGGCGGTCGACGGACCTGATCCGCGCCGAGTGCATGGCGCACAAGGCGGCGACGCTCCACGCCATGGGCCGCCACACGGACGCCCTCGCCTGCGCCGAGGAGGCGAAGCGCCTCGACCCGAAGCAGCCGCGCGCGTACTTCGGGCTCGCGCTCGCGCGCGACGGCCTCGGCGAGCCCATGAAGAGCATGGACGCCATCCAGGACGGCATGCGCTGCCAGGCGAAGAGCGGCTCCATCTTCGACCCCGTCATCGAGCTCATCAAGCCCAAGCTGCAGGCGCTGACGAAGCTCAAGGACGCCGCGGAGAAGGGCAACCTGCCGGAGTGCGAGAAGCTCGCGGACCGCCTCGACGGCTTCGGCTTCCCGGCCATGAAGTCGCTGAGCAGCGGCGAGCCGCGCAAGGAGATCACCGCGGCCCACGCGGCCGTCGACGGCGGCCAGCTCGAGGTCATCGCGTTCCTTGGGGCGCGCGGCTTCGACCTGGACGTCGCCGACTGCGAGGGCGCCGCGCCGCGCGGACTCGACTATTCAAGAAGACTTCAATGTGATTGTATGCGAGAACGAGTTCGTAGCGCTCCATCGAGAGCTCGACGAGAGAGGACGACTCGCGACGTCGATTCGATGGAGATGGAGAGAGAAGCCCCAGCAACGTGACACGAGTTCGTAGCTCCCCATCGAGAGCTCGACGAGAGAGGACGACTCGCGACGTCGATTCGATGGAGATAGAGAGAGAAGCCCCAGCAACGTGACACGAGTTCGTCGCGCTCCATCGAGAGCTCGCGCGTTTCCCGGCTCACGTGCTCGGCTCAGGCGACACGCCCCTCGCCTCCCTCTTCTTCGGGGACCGGGGCCGCGGCGGCGGCCACCACGTGCGCGGCGACGCCTGGAAGGCCATCGCGGCCGCGCTGCTCGCCGCGGGCGCGGACCCGCGCGCGCGCGGCGCGGACGGCCTCCCGCCGCTCCACCGCGCGCTCGACGTCGGCGACGTCGACGTCGCCGCCGTGCTCTACGACCACGACGCGACGATCCTCGCGCGCTGCCCCGACGCGGCGGGGCGGTCGCCGCTCCACGCGGCGTGCGCGGTGCCCGGCGAGGCGAACGAGATCGTGAAGCACGGCTGCGTCGAGTGGCTCCTCGCGCGCGGCGGGCCGGACCTGCTCCTCGCCAAGGACGCCGAGGGGCGCGTGCCGCTGAAGCTCCTGCGCCACGACGCCGACGCCGTCGACGCGAAGATCAAGAAGTGGATCTCCGCGTGGCTCCGCCTCGCGCGCAAGGCCAAGCTCGTCGGCGCGCTGCCGCCGCCGCCGCCCTACGACCAGGGCGACGCGGGCGCCGCACCGGAGCCCGCGCGCGACGGCCGGGCCCGCGGCTTCCGCGCACGGCTCGTCGACGACGGCGCGGTCGAGCCGCCGAAGCCCCGCTTCAAGCCCGAGCTCCACGCCATCCCCATCACGGACCAGTACCGCCGCTTCGACGCCATCGACTACGACCGGGAGAAGGCCGACGCGCCGCCGGCCAATGCGGAGTAACGCCCGTTTTAGTCGCGCTGGAAGCTCGCCCGGCGGTGGTCGTCCTTCTTCTTCTCGCTCGGCGCGTCGACGAAGACCACGGGCCAGAGCCCCTTGAGGTCGCCCTTCGTCGGGCTCCGCTTCGGGTCGACGTCGTTGGTGCCGCGGCTGTTGCGCCGCTTCCGCGGGCTCGACTGCTGCTTGTCGCGGTCGGCCTTGGACACGGGCCCGCGCCGCACCTGGGGCGGCCTAATTCGCGCGAAAAAAAAAAACGGTCGGGGCGCCGCGGCGCGCGGAGACGGCGTAGCACAGCCGCGTCGAGTCCGGCGAGTAGCGGACGTCGTAGCGCAGCGACGGCGCGTTGACCTTGGCGACGAGCGCGCCGACGTCGCCGCCGACGTCGCCCCGGTACGCGAAGATCGTGTCCGCGGCCGCGATGGCGATCTGGGACCCGTCGGGCGCCCAGTCGACGGCGCAGACGCCCGAGGACACGTTCTCCGTGGACCCGCGCCAGACCTGGCGACGGACGCGTCGGCGTCCCCGCCCCTCTCGAAAAGCAGTCGCGACGCCGCGCGGGGCCCAGACGACGCCGCCGAAGTTGCGGCCCGGCCGCGCGTGGACGACGCGCACCGACGAGTCCGCGGACGCGGCGACGAGGTGGTCGCCGTCGGGCGACCAGCGCACGGCCGTGACGACGCCCCCGAACCCGACGACGGCGACGACGGACTCCGTCGGCGTCATGTCCCAGACGCGCACGGACTTGTCGTCGGAGCCGGAGGCCAGCTCCGTGCCGTCCGGGCCTACGACGTGCGACGAGTGTCCTTCGTCTTTTCAAAAATCCCTCGAAAGCTCCGTCGCGGCCGCGGGACGCGGGCTCCGGGCTCGGCGCGAGGCAGCGGACGCTGTCGGAGTGGTCCGCCATGGACCGCGACAGGCGCGCGCTCTTGTAGCGGCTCGTGTAGTCGACCTTCCACAGCGCCAGCTCCGGCGCCGCGCCGCCGACGGCGAGCGTGTTGTTCCGCACCCAGCACAGCGACAGGACGTAAAAGGGCTCGCGGTCGCTGTCGTCGTCGTGGTCCGCGCCGTGGGCCTCGGGGTGGGACGCGCTGCCCAGCAGGGCGCCGCCGCCGTGGGGGTGCGCCGCCGGGTGGTGGCGGCGCTTCTCGAGCTGCGTCGGCGACCGGAGCCGGAACTTGTGGAGCAGGTCGCCGTCGGCACTCCACACGGCGACGCGGCCGTCCGCGCCGCCCGTCGCGAGCACGGCGCCGTCGGGGCTGAAGCCCACGGCCCGCACCCAGCAGCCCTCGTCGTCGTCCTCCTCGTCGTTGTGGCCGTCGAGGAGCAGGCCCACGGACTCGCGCGGGTCCCGCCAGAGGCCCACGGTGCCGTCGCGGCAGCCCGTGGCGACGAGCCGCGTCGTCGGGCACCACGCCAGGCCCGTGACGCCGCCGACGTGCGACCCGCCGTCGAACACGGGCCGCGGCAGCTCGCCGAACTCGTCGTCCTCGTCCTCGTCCTCGTCCTCCTCGCCCAGGGCCTCGACGGGCGCGAGCTTCATCGCGGACCGCTGCGGGCCCGCGCCCTTCATGCCCGGGTGCCACTTGCCGCCGTGGGCCGCCGTGCCGTGGCTCCGCGCCGACATCGCGCGACTGGTCGGAGAGGTGTGTCGCTGCTCACGTTCTCGGGCTGGGGCTGCCCATATTGCGCGTTGGCTCCGGCCCAAGTTGCAAGGAAACCAAACACGGTGCAGTTATCTCTTTAGCCCCCACTACACTCCCGCCGGCGGGATACTTTAAATACCGCTTCAGCGTAGGCTCCAACCTCAAGCCCCCGCGGCGCGCAAGTAACGGGTCTTCCGGCGGGAACAGTAGCTTACGTGCCCCGGCCGCGCCGTGAGACGTAGGGCTTCTCTTCGGTCCAGGGACCGTACAGGGCCACGTCGCGCGAGCGCTGGCGGACGTCCGTGCGTAGCCGGGACGGCTCGAGCCAGTCGACGACGATGGGCGCGTGCGCGTCGTGGCGGAGCACGTGGACCGTCGCCGTCGGCGGGAGGAACTTTGCGATGTGGTCGGCCGTCCGGGTCGAGTCGCGCGTGAGCGCGTCGAGGCAGCAGTCGAACTCGAGGTAGACGTCCCTGACGGTCTCTGGGACGGTGGCGAAGACATCCCAACCGTCGGCATCGTAGTCGACCGTGTCCGTCGAGACGGCGAGGGCTTTGAGCTTCGGCATCGTCGTGCGGATCTTGAAGAAGAGGTGGCGGAAAAGGTCGTGGCTCATCCCGCTGTCCATGTATCCAAGGGTCTCGAGTCTCGGGAAGCCCCCTGGAAAATCCCGGAGGATGCGCTGGTCCTCGTAGGTGCAGACCGCGAGGGTCACGAGGTCGTCGTGCGCTTCGATGAGCTTCTGCGCGCTCTCGAGCGGCGGCGGACCGTCGAACGTGTCGAACAACGGCCGCGCGGTCTCTACGGCAAAGCACACGCCATCGTCCGTCTGGCAGACCTGTGGCGTCATCAAGGTCATGTAACAACGTCGAGCTCTCGAAGGCGCGACGCGTCCCGTAAGAACGAAGGCGCGATGAAATTTCCGCGCGGCGTCGCGCGAGCGCCTTGAGGTTGCCGAGGGCCTCGCGCGCGGCATCACGCGCGGCGCGGCCGGGCCCCGGCACCGGGTGTCTCTGCGGCGTTCTCTCGCCGGGGCCGAAGCAGTCCGTGAGGTAGCACTTCATGTCGCTGATCCGCGACACGCCCCGGAGCAGGGGGAGCACGTCCGCGTAGAAGGCGTCGCCCATGGGCTCGCGGTGGCAGTGGAGGCGCGCGGGCCGCACGCGGGCGTGCGTGGATGCGAGTTCCACGCACTCGAGGTTCGGGAAGGGCGCTTTCGCGAGGAACTCGAAGCGGCCGCTGTCGTCGAAGACGAACGTCGCGCGGCGCACCTTCTCGCGAATTAGCTGCGGCAGCGCCGCCGCGCGCTCGACGCCCATGTCCAGAGTGCGCGACGCGAGGTAGCGCATCTCGTCGTTCTCCACGACGTCGACGACGTGCCCCGCCGCGCCGTAGTCGCGGCGACTGATCGTCACGTACGACCAGTCCAAGGCCTCGGCGACGTGCTCGTCCCAGCCGCGCGCCACCGCCCAGAGACTGCTGGTCGTACGGAATGAGATCACAGTGTGGATGAAATTGCCGTCGATCGCGGAGTTTCGCCCGACGAATGAGATCACAGTGTGGATGACATCCGCGGGGAGCGAATTTAAGCTCGTCATGTCGAACGGCGCGACTCAACGCGCTCGTCGCTTCGAGGCGCGTTGCGCGGCCCGGAAGGCGCGTTCCACGGCCCGGGTGGCGCCTCGAACGGCGGGAGACGCGAGGGGGGCGTGTAAGGTCGCGATCGCGATCGGTGTGGCAAAAAGGGTTACTAGGAATTCCTAGTAGAGCCCGATGGAAGAGTTGAACTCATGGAGATCGAGGTCATGGGATGCGCCTCATCATATGCGTCGTCCCTGGATATGCTACCGCCACCACAAAAGGCCTTAGCCGCTCGGCGTCCGGCGGTGGAGCTTGATGGTGCCGCCGGAGTGGCGCCGCGCCGGCCGCTCGTCGTCGTCGTCGTCGGCGAGGTCCGCGAGGTCGCCCGCGTCGAACTTGGCGTCCTTGGGGAGCGACTGGCGGTTGCGCACGGGGCTCGTCTTCGGCTTCCACTCGAGCAGCTGGAGGTGCGCGCGGAGCCGCTCGACGTCCTGGACGGGCGTCCAGTCGTCCGCGAGGCCCTCGCCGCACACGAGGGACCCCGCGTCGAGCAGGCCCGCGCACCACGCCGCCTCGACGTCCTCGAGCCTCCGGTGCGACGAGCGCCGGTCGCGCGCGTCGATGTAGTGGAAGATCAGCTCGCCGAGGGGCCGCTCCTCGCCGAGCAAGGACGACGACTCGGACTTGACCTCGTCGTCGTCCTCGTCGCTGCTCGGCGCGCGCCGGAGCGCGGCGAGCGGCGACCGCTGGGCGATTTCGACGTCGGCGAGGGCGGCGGGCGACGGCGGCCGCCGCGCCGGCCGCGCCGCGAGCTCGACGTCGCCGTCCGGCGGCGCCGGCGGCGCGCGGTTCCGCGCGAGGCCGACGCCCCGCGACGCGGCGACGAGGCGGGAGAGCGTCGCCGCGGCGACGCTGAGGAACGGGCCCGGGCCGACCTTGGTCTCGCCGAGGGCGACGAGCGGCGCCGAGTAGAAGAGGACGACGGACGCCGCCTGCGCAAAGGACCCGGCGCCGCACGCCGGGGCCACGGAGCCGCTGAGGACGGCCTTCTTCGGCGACCGGTCCGCGGACAGCGCGCCGAGCATGAGGAGCCACAGACCCACGACGGCCAGGCCCGCGCCCGCCACGGACGCGGACCGCGCGGCGTGGAACGTCGCGCGCGGCGGGCTCGCCTCGTCGAACTCCGAGTCGGAGAACAAAAAGGGCCCCTCGGCCCGGAGGCAGGCCTTGGCGTCGCGCCGCGTCGCCGCGCCCGGCCCGCCGCTCTCGACGAGGACGGCGCTGCGCCCGCAGGGGTCGCCGTTCCAGGGCCGCCAGCCGTCGAAGCCGCCGCTCCGGATCCGTCGGACGTCGTGCTCGAAGAAGCTCACGGCGTAGGCGTAGTCCACCGTGTCGCGCAGGTGGCCCAGGTCGCAGCGGAACCGGGACTGCGTCGTCGCCCAGCGCACGCCGGGGACGAGCGCCACGCCGCCGAGCACGGCCGCGAGCCCGAGGCACACGACCTCGGCCGTCGGGGAGACGAGGCGCGTCTCCCCGTACTTGGCGCCCATGGGGACGAGGCTCGACGCCGCCGCCGCCGCAGACCGTCGACGCGAGATCCAATGCGGGGGCGCGGGACGACACGGAAGAACCTAGAGCTGCCCGCACCACACAAGCATTCCACTCTCCGTGCCCTCCCACTAGGTCGGCCGACTCTTGAGATTCAACATTGAGTCCAACAACAGGGCGGTGCACAGATGATGCCGTCTCGTCCTGTCGTGGCGACCCAAACATGGAAGCGCATGGACCGCAGTGACCACTGACGCGCTGCGAGCATCGACACACAATGTCCAAACTAGCACTACTGCTGCACCTCGCGCTCCTCCAAAGCGCCGCGCCGCTGGACGCGAGCGTCGCAATGAAAGCGGTGCGCCGCCGCGCGGCGGCCTGCGCGCTGGCCGCGCCGCTCTTCGCGCCGCTCGCGGCCGCCGCCGTCCCGCCGACGGCCGCCGCCGTCCCGCCGACGGCCGCGGCCGTCCCGCCGACGGTCGTCGCGTCGCCGGCGCGCGCCGCGTCGCCGATGAGCGCGCAGGCGGCGCTCTACCGCGAGGCGATGGCCGGCGACGCCGCGGCGCGCGTCGCGGCGAACGAGGCGGTGTACGAGCAGGCCTGGGGCACGATCTCGACCATGGCCTACGACCCCACGGGCGGCCTGCGCTTCGACGGCCGCGCGCGCGCCGCCGAGTGGGTCGCGCGGAAGCGCGCGGCGTTCGCGCGGCCCGCGACCTTCGAGACGCCCGCGGGCACGCGCGTCGCCGTCGGCGAGCTCCTCGAGGCCATCGACGACCGCTGGGCGGCGCTGGAGCCCGCGCCGGCGGAACGGGTCGCGCGGCCGCGGTCGCCGCTCGACGACGTCGCCGTGGCGCGCGCGGCGGACGCCGGCGGCGGGCTCGAGGTCGTCGCCGTGCGGCCGGGCTCCGCGGCGGAGCGCGCGGACCTCCGCGTCGGCGACGTCGTCCGATCCGTCGCGGGCAGGTCCGCGGCCCGCGGGCCCGCGGTTTCGCGCGCGGCGCCGCTCCGCGACGCCCTCGGCGGCGCGGCGCCGCCGGCGCCCGCGGCGCTCGTCGTCGACCGCGGCGGCGCGCGGCTGCGGCTGTCGCTCGACGCCGCGGCGCCCGCGCCGGACGTGTCGACCGTCGACCTCGGCGACGCGCGCTACCTGCGCGTCGCGTCCTTCGACCGCGACACGCCGCGCAAGATCGCCGCGCTGCTCCTCGAGCGCGAGCCGAAGGCGCGGCTCGTGCTCGACCTGCGCAACAACCCGGGGGGCACGCTCCAGTACGCGATGCAGTCCGCGGCGCTCTTCTTCGACGAGGCCTACGCTTTGCCGCCGCCCGCGAGCGCGCGCGCGAAGCCCTTCCAGGCGCCGCGCGGCGGCGCCGCGGACGTCGGGCGGACGCCGCTCTGCTTCACCGTCAACTCGCGGGGCGAGTACACGGACCACGACGTCGACGAGTACCGCACGGACCCGCGCTACCCGCGGGTCGGCGGCGAGACGTCGCCGCGGGCGAAGCGCGACGTCGTGCTCCTCGTGAACCGCGGCACGGCGTCGGCGGCGGAGGCCTTCGCGGCGGCGCTCCGCGACAACGGCGCGGCGACGGTCCTCGGCGAGCGGACGTTCGGAAAGTCGCTCGTCCAGCACGCGTTCCCGCTGCCCGACGGCGGCGCGCTGCGGCTCACGGTCGCCGAGCTGCTGTCGCCGAGGCAGCAGCACCTCCCGCCGACGACGCTCGCGGACTTGCGGGACCCCGCGGCGAGCCGCGGCGGGCTGGCGCCGGACGCGCTCTGCGACGCCGCGCCTCTGCGGCCGCCGCGCGAGGACGCGTGCACGGCGCGGGCCCTGGGGGGTGGTATTTGATACGGGGTCTTTTAAAATTGCGGAGATGCATCGCGGAGGGTGGCGTCGCGATCAATCCATGCCGTCGAAGTCGTCGTCGGCGGGCTCGGCCGGCGCGCCGACGCCCTGGTCGCCCGTGTCGAAGTTGACGTCCTTGTTGAGCTTGGCCCAGACGTCGTCGGCGTTGAACTTGCGGAGCGTGAGGACGACGTCGCCGCGGTCGGCCTTGACCTTGAACTTGCACTTCTCCGCGTCGACGTCGTGCGCGAGGTCCACGGAGAAGACGGCGCGCGACTTCGAGGGCGCGTGGAGCGCCTCGACGCGGAGGTGGTCGTAGCCGAAGAAGACGAAGACCGCGTCGTCGGCGAGGGCCAGGTGCTTGCCCAGCGAGAGGTAGACCTTGACGGACTTGGCGCCCGGGTCGAACGCGTAGTCCGACACGACCTTGGGCGCCCAGGACGCCGCCGCGGCGAGCTTGGAGATGGTCACGCCGTAGGGCCAGCGCGGCTCGACGGCGGGCTCCGCGGCCGCGGGCTTGGGCGCGAGCTTGACGGGCGCCGCGCCGAGCATGCCGCCCGGCGGCAGCGGCAGCGGCGCCGCGTCCGGCGCGGCGAGCACCTCGACGACGGGGTCGTCGTCGTCGTCGTCGTCGTCGTCGTCGTCGTCGAGGCCGAGGCGCCGGCTCCGCGCGGCGAGGTCGCCGTCCGGGTCGTCCGTGAGGAAGCGCCGCGGCTCGCGGCCGAGCGACCGGCACCACTCGACCTCCTCGTCGTAGGCCGTGCGGTCCCACCACTGGATGACGCTCTCCGGGTCGCTCTGCTCGTCGGTCTCGTCGAAGGCGTACTGGTCGCGCTCCTGGGGCGGCAGGTAGCGCAGCATGTTCTGCGACACGGGCCCCAAAGCCTCGAAGGGCCGGTACCGCTCCGCGCCGTCCATGTGCGCGATCATCTCCGCGACGACGCCCGTGAGCATGCCGTCCTCCTCCTCGACGAAGAGCACGCGGCTCGCCGTCTCCTTGTCCGGCACGTCGGCGGCGAAGGCCGATTTCGGCGGGTCCTTGACGTCCTCGATCTTGCCGAGCTCGTGGATCTCGCCCGCGGCGTCGCGGTCGTAGACCATGCGCTTCATGGGCAGTTCCGTAAAGTAGCACGTGAGCTGGACCGCGCGGCGCCGGCGGAAGCGCATGTCCTCGGGCGAGCCCCGCTCGACCTCGGCCGCCGCGCCCGCGATGGACCACGCGGGCTCGAACGACGCGCCCGCGGGCCCGCTGTTCGCCCTGACGCCGTCGAGGCCCGGCGTCGGCGCGGCGCCGTCGCCCGCCGGCGGCGCGACCCAGGCGAGCTGCCACGTCGACTGGTGGGACCGGCAGTTGAACTTGAAGGACCGGCGCCACTCCGCGGGCCAGCCGGCGACGGCGACGCGCGCGCAGTCCGACTTGATCTCGACGGTCACGTCTTTTTTGGCCGTGTGCTCGGGCACGTAGACGGTGATGACGAAGCTCAGGTGCTCCTCCGGGTCCGGGTTCGGCTCCCAGTCGTAGCAGCCCTTTTTGCCACCGAAATCCGCCGCGCGGAGCATGCGCCAGTCGCCGTCGAAGAGCCGGTCCCACCGCTTGCCGTACTCCGCCTTGGCGATCTTGAAGGCGATCATGTCGAGCTTGTCCCAGCTCACGGAGTCCATGTCCTGCGACGGGTCGATGCCGTAGGCCAGGTCGCGGTCGACGACCGCGGGGAAGCCCTCGGTCTGCACCAAGACGTGCGCGGGCTCCGTGACCTCGACCGTGACGTCGTCGAGCGGGCCCTGGAGCCACACGACAAAAATCACGTAGCCCTTGGACTGGGTCCAGGCGTAGCAGTTCGCGAGGGGGCTGTGGTCCTTGCCCAGGCCCGGCACCTCCTTGCGCCGGACCTTGGACATGAACTTCTTGAAGAGCAGGCGCTCGTGCGCGCGGATCTCCTTGGGCTTGTGCCAGATGGCCTTCATGGCCTCCTCGGCCGTCTTCGGCAGGTGGTCCGCGTAGATCTCCTCCGTCGACTTGCCGCGGCGCACGCGCTTCTCCTTGCTGCCGCGCTTCGCGTCCTTGATGAGCGGCACCGCGGGGATCGCCGGCGCCGGCGGCGGGTTCGTCTCGGCGATGACGCTGTCGAGGTCGTCCATGCTGGCGAGTGGACGGCGCCCGGGAGCGGTGTTTCGTGGGCCGCGCGGCGCGCGGCGAGGCGGCGGTAAAGGTAGTCGACTTCGGCGCTTCGACTGGCTGTCTTGTCGCAAGCGTCCACAAGCTTCGGCGAGCGCACTTGCGCCTCGCCACGGCCACTAGACATCGGCCGATGGGCGCACCAGAACTCAGCGACTTCCGCACCGATTTGGTCGCTTCAAAGCCATGCTGTTCGTCACACACACCCTACGCGATGGTCCATCGACTTGGTTTGACGCGCGCCGCCGCGCGCACGCGAAAATCGGCTGGCACAGGCTGCGACGGCGGTCGATGGCGATGGTCCACGGGGTCACAGCGCGACCAGAGGCTACCTTGCCCGTCCCTTGGTCATCGCTGCTTGGTTTATGTGTGGACGGAACTGCGTGGACCGTTGGACGGACCCGGGAACCGGTTTTCGCACGCGCTCGCGACCTCGGCGCGCTGGCGCGAACGCTGTATCGAGACGCGCTTGTGTACGTCGAGAGAGGCTTCTCCGAGGCTGTACGAGCTACAGCGGCTGGCGCGCGGACCCCTACGACTCGGCCAAGGTGTCAGACACGTTACTGCGACGCCTTCATGGCCTCGACGGCATGGGCCCAAAAGCGCCGATATCGCCCTGGTGCCAGGCTCAGCATTCGCGCGCGCGTCGCGACGACTACGACCGCGCGTCGAGCTCCGAACGCGATGCCCGTCGAGTGCAGCGTCGTGGGCGCCCTGCGTTCGACTCCTCGCCCCCAAACCGGCCTTTTTCGAGCCCACCACGTCCAGAAATCGACCCATCGCCGCCGCGCTCCCAGCCATCGACTACCGAACACCCACGCCCCGCGCGAGCCCGGACGCGAGAGGGCTCCCTTGTGGCTACCTAACAGCGCCCTGGTGGCCCCATGGGGCGCCCTCCTCGCTGCCGAGGGCTGGGAGCGACTGGTGCTCAGATTTGACAAAATTAGCCCGGCGAAACAGCTCCGACGCTCTCCGAGCGCCTCAGAGAGCATGTGAGCTGATTTCGAGACCTTTTGCAGCCGCTATGGCATGGATTCCAGCCGTTCTTCTTCGTGTGCGCGCCCCGGACATGTTGCGACGACAACCACGCGCAAAAGTCGGCGCTCGATGCGGTCGCGCGCGTCCGGAATCGGCTCAAAAGTGGTCGATTTGCGAGTTATAGCCCATGGATCCAAGGTTTTGCGCGAGTTCGGGAATGTCAGACGCCACAGAGGCGGCGAACGTGACCCATGGTAAGCCCATCGTCGCACTGCACAAGTGGTCCCGCGTCGCGGGCTCCGTCGGCGTTTTTACAGCGTTCGAGAGCGTGTCGGCGTTTCGCTCGGGAAGCCTCGAACGCGCAGCCGTGGACTCGAAAACAGCCCCGATGGTCGTCTGGCGGTCCGGTCAGCTCGGTCTATGTACTGAGCGTCCTAAAACGACCAAGGGACGGGCAAAGCTGCCTCGGGCGACTCGATGACCCCGAATCGACTCGAAATCATCAAATCCGAGCACCTGGCGCGGCCGCGGTGGCCGCGCGCGCGCGTCGCTCGGTAACAAATAAGCTTTGGCCGACCTCCTAGGACTGATGCGCCGCGGGGCCACCGAAAACCGCACCCGAATCGGTGTCGACGCCGCCGAGAACGAGCTGCGCAGGCCGCCGCCGATGTCGAGTGGCGGCCTCCAGCCAATCAGGGCGCAAGTGAGCGAGCCGATCGTGGTCAGCCTTGCCCCGCTGGCAGATCTACTTGAGGCAGCATGGCGCGGCCGATGGCGTTCAATCTGGTCCAAATCCTCTGCCTGGCGCGCTCGTCCTCTGCGCTGGTCTTCCGCGCGGCCCCGCGGCCGCGCCTCGGGCTCGCGCGGCCGGCGACGAACGCCGAGTGGCTCGAGGCCTGCGCAACCTCCGGCGTCGTGTCCTACACCGATTTCGGCATCAGGCTCGCGGCGTCGACGCCCGCGGAGGCCGCGCCCGCGGAGAAGCCCGCGACGGAGGAGTCCGCGACGGAGGCCGCGCCCGCCGAGGAGCCGGCGGAGGCCGCGCCGGAGGCGCCGACGACGACCATCGCGCCGCCGCCGAACCTCAGCGAGTCGGTGCTCGCGGACTTCACGGAGCGGAGCGAGCGCAACCTCGAGGTCGCGCGGCTGCAGACGCAGCTCGAGCGGTCGCAGCTCCGGCGGAAGCAGGTCGAGGAGGTCGTCGGCGAGGAGCTCGCGGCCCTGCGCTTCCAGCTCGAGCGCGAGGTCGCCGCGGAGGAGGACCGGTCGCGGTCCGCGGGCGCGCTCAAGGCGCAGCTCGAGGCCGCGAAGCGGACCAAGGCCGACAACTGCGCGCGCGAGGAGCAGCTGCTGGTGCAGCTCCAGGACGTCGCCCAGCGCACGGAGGAGGCCGCCGTCGCCGCGTCGCTCGCCGCGGCCATCGAGACCAAGGCGGGCCTCGTCGCCATCGAGCTCCTCTTGATCGACGACGTCGCCGAGTGCGTCGCGGCCGTCGCGAAAGAGGAGTCGGAGATCGACAAGCGCATCGCGGCCATGCGGACCACGCTGGCCTCGCTCCCCGCCGCCGACGACGCCGACGCGCTGCGGCTCTACAGCTGGTCCCAGGTCGAGGCGCTCCAGGAGGAGCTCCGCCTCGGCGCGCTCGCCATCGCGGAGACGGAGGCGTCCGTCGCGGCGCTGCGCCAGCGCATCAACGACGCCCTGGACCAGCGCGACGCCGTCATCGGCTCGGCGCCCGTGCTCGGCGTCGCGGCGCCGGAGCCGCCGAAGCCGGCGCCGCGCGACCGCGACGGCGTCGCCGTGCTCGACCTCGAGTCGCTCGACGAGGCGGGCCTCAAGGACGCGGTCGCGTCGTCGGCGTCGGCGACGGCGTCGTCCTTCGCCGCGCTGGGCAAGAGCCTCCTCGCCTTCGGGGGCGCCGTCGCGGCGTCCGGCGACGCCAAG